CCATTCTATTGGTTGACCCTGTACTGTGAGTTGGTTGTTGGGCTTCGCTATTTTTATGGGCATGGCTTTTGTCTTGGTGGGGTTGAGTTTGATACCATCTACTTTGCCTCTTTACTGATGCAGTCTAAGCATTTGGGTGCAAGGCGCGCCGCATCCCTTCCTTTTATGATGATGACAAAGTCGTCCGCGTAGTTTAGCAGCCTGCAGTGATGTGGGAGTTTCAACCTCATTATTCTTTCCATTAAACAGTTGAAGAGAAGAGGGCTAAGAATACCTCCTTGCGGTGTACCATTTTCATGTATTTTGTACTCTGAGACTGTGCCATGAAGTTTTACTCATGCTTCTCTGTTTATGAGACAGTTTTTGGTCCAGGAGAGCAGGTTGCCTCTGACCTCTTTGTCAATTGATTGATTGATAAAGATTAAGCTACCCAAAAGGTGGCACGGGCATGAATAGCCCGTAAGTGGAGACTCTTTGGAACCATTGCCAGTACCAATAGCTGATACTGGAGATCTGTGGATAGATGGGGTGTTCAATGTCCGCTCGCAGTTGGCTTGGTCGCCAGGTTGCAGATTAATGTCTAATGCGACGCTGTATATCTGAACAGAACAACATCGGTAGTCTGGTACCATCAGGATCATGGTATATATATATATATATATATATATATATATATATATATATATATTTATATATAATCTTTGGACAACACCCACCAGTGGGACTCGAACCCAGAAAGCACAACTACCTTCCAGTAGCTGGCATAACTAGTATGCTTTAACCCACTACACCATCAGACCTTACAAAAGAAGTAGATAGTTCGAGATATATATCCCAAACATCTCCACTTCCCGAAGGCACCAGATGAGTGTGGGGTCAGTCTGCATTTTTCGTCAAATGCAGACTGACCCCACACTCATCTGGTGCCTTCGGGAAGTGGAGATGTTTGGGATATATATCTCGAACTATCTACTTCTTTTGTAAGGTCTGATGGTGTAGTGGGTTAAAGCATACTAGTTATGCCAGCTACTGGAAGGTAGTTGTGCTTTCTGGGTTCGAGTCCCACTGGTGGGTGTTGTCCAAAGATTATTAATCTTCACTTGTGGGTTATGCAAGTATAGGCTTATATATATATATATATATATATATATATATATATATATATATATATATATATATATATATATATATTGTGACGATAATCTCCTTCAAGAGATTGAGCCTGCTCTTCCCTTCATAATTACGTCTTCACAACTATATAAAAGACTATGGAAGAAATGTCCAACAACGACAACAAACACCAGCAAGGCTTGCCAGGGTGAGCAGAAACGTATGCATCCAGCCACCTGTTCGAACTCCAACCACCAAACTACCCGTTGATCGCTACGGCTCCGCTGATTGGTCGCCGGTCTGGCTGCACCTGCACTCGCCCCCCAATACTACCCGATGTCTGGGGTCGCCCCAACATCAGTCTTCAGAATGTTCCGTGCTTTCGTAGCCAGCACTCCTCCCAGCTAGACTCTAGAGTGTACTGAGAGAGGTGGTGGCTTTAAGCCAATATTCCAGCACCTCCCACTTAACTTTTGTGTTGCACTTCTTGTTATTTTGCCTTAACGTAACTTTTCATTTTGTCATTTAAGTATTCTTATTATTTTGATTCATTGATTTTATTATAAGAATTTGTTTGTGCATTATTTTCATGTTTTGATTTATTTAACGTAATTAAAATTTCATTGTTAAAGTTTACTTGTGTTTTGTGTGTCTTCTCCTTACCTTACCACAGACGAAGTTCCAGTTTTTCTATTTTTTTTATAACTATGTGACGAGGCCATACCCCTAGCCTTTAACAGCCGAACACCAACGCGTTACCGTCACAATATATATATATATATATATATATATAACTGAAAACTCACACCCCAGAAGTGACTCGAACCCATACTCCCAGGAGCCACGCAACTGGTATGTACAAGACGCCTTAATCCACTTGACCATCACGACCGGACAAAATGAGGTGATAGCCGAGGCTATTTGAACCACCCCACCGCCGGCACTCGGATAGTAATCTTGGGCATAGCATTTTACCAAATCACCTCATTCTTTGGGGCACACGTGAGGAACACAAATGCAAACAAGCCTGAATGGTCCCCAGGACAATATGCAACTGAAAACTCACACCCCAGAAGAACCTCACTTCTGGGGTGTGAGTTTTCAGTTGCATATTGTCCTGGGGACCATTCAGGCTTGTTCGCATATATATATATATATATATATATATATATATATATATATGTCGTACCTAGTAGCCAGAACGCACTTCTCAGCCTACTATGCAAGGCCTGATTTGCCTAATAAGCCAAGTTTTCATGAATTAATTGTTTTTCGACTACCTAACCTACCTAACCTTACCTAACCTAACTTTTTCTGCTACCTAACCTAACCTAACCTATAGAGATAGGTTAGGTTAGGTTAGGTAGGGTTGGTTAGGTTCGGTCATATATCTACGTTAATTTTAACTCCAATAAAAAAAAATGACCTCATACATAATGAAATGAGTAGCTTTATCATTTCATAAGAAAAAAAATTAGAGAAAATATAATAATTCAGGAAAAATTGGCTTATAAGGCAAATCGGGCCTTGCATAGTAGGCCGAGAAGTGCGTTCTGGCTACTAGGTACGACACATATATATATATATATATATATATATATATATATATATATATATATATATATATATATATATATATATATATATATATATATATATATATATATATATTAATGCACAACTTGCCTAAACACACAAGAGAAGTTATACAACCTTAGAACACTTTCCCACCAGGAGATTCGAACCCTAGCCAGCACAGAAGCCTTACAGCAACTGGCATAACTGGTACGCCTTTAACCCACTGCACCACAACTCAGACCCTTAAAAGAGATGGTAATTTCGGAGTATTTAAATCCCCCAAAGGTCACCACCTCCCAAGGGCAACTAGAGCAAGTGAGGGGCTACTCACGTTCTTTCATCAAATAGCCCCTCACTATGCTTACGCAGCACCCGTATTGTCTTACACAGGCCAAGGCAGAATTCAAAGAATAGAGCTGATACAGAACGAGGCTATGAGGATTATTCTTGGATGTCAAAGAAATGCAATGATTGAAATAATGAGAATGGAATTAAATTTACAGAGTGTGTGTGATAGAGTCCGTGACATTAACACTAGAGTATCTATTCGTTTCATGCGGAGAAAAGGAGGGGATAAGCTGTTTGAGAGCGTTCAGACCTGCTTGAGTGACGTACACACTTCCAGGAAACTGAGGGAGACACGCTACACGAGGGGATTAGCTCATGACCTCAGGGAATACGACGTACTTGACTGCTGTAAACCCTCTCGACAGTGTAATATGTCTGCTCCCTGGAAAGTACAGAAAATAGACGTTGAAATTATACCCCTCAAGGTGAAAAAGATTCATCATGAACCATGACAATTACGGTGTTTGTATGGAAGCATGATATCTCGGTTACCAAGAGGCAACAGTTTACATGTATATTGCGACGGGTCGGTGGCGGAGGATGGCAGGGCAGGGTGTGGTGTCCTAATAAGGGATTATACGGAGTTTGGGACTGTGGACAGGATAATTGAACTCCGGCTTAGTAATTATATATCATCCACACAAGCTGAACTGCAGGCCATTCTGGCGTGTTTGGAGGAAGTACGTCATGACGACAAAAATGATTTTGTATTTGTCGATAGCCGAGGAGCACTGGAGTCCTTAAACAGTCGAAACCCAGTCTTCATGTCTATAGTTGAGGACTGTAAGAGAAGAATAACTGAGATACAGCTGAAAGGTTATAGTGTGAAATTCATGTGGATTCCATCTCATGTTGGAATAGTGCTCAACGAGGTGGCGGATGACTTGGCCAAACGTGCCACATCAAAACCACAAGTTGACATTGAATGTGAATTCACAATGAGACAAATAAGAAGCAAAATCAGAAATATTCAGGCACAGGCGGGAGTGGAGAGGAGAGAGATAATGTATGAGAGTAGTCAAACCATGCAACACTACATGTATGTGAGTCAAAACACCCATTTCGCTTATGGTAAAAGGAGAAATGCTTGGAGTGACTCTGTGTACATGCGGCTCAGGCTTGGGTACAAATATTACTGGGAATATGGGATAGGTGTTCGTGATAATGACACGAGGTGTAAACTATGTGGTATGTTAAGGTCTCACACCCTTGCCCACTATGTTCTTGATTGTCCGTTGATTAATGTATATAGAAACACTGAGATAAGGACTGTTCCTGAACAAATAGCCTGGATGTGTCACAACGGAAAGGTTGATGATATTCTTGAGAGATATAAAAATTTTGCACCAAGATTGTAATATTTTGTTGAATTATCTGCAGGTGTCTTGCAAATTGTCTATACAGTATACCTAGGTCATAAAAGTATTTGTGTGTACGTCTGATACCATACTACTTGTGAAGGAGGAAATGTATATGTTTACCTCTCAGAATGTTTGGTAACATGTTTATTGTTTGTGATGTGTGTCTATGTATATATTAACACGTTGTACTGACTGGGGTGAGAATAGCTTGAGCTACCTCATCCCTTTGTGTGTATTTTACCTCAATAAACTTATTTCAATTTCAATTTCAATATAATATATTTTCTCATAATAATGCTGGTGCTGAACGTAGAACATGAAAAAAAACATATTTTTACTTTGAAAAAGTATAATTTTTAACAAAATTAGGCGAAAATAAGGAGCTGGTGATTGATTGATGTAGATTAAGCCACCGAAGTGGTGGCACGGGCATGAATAGCCCGTAAGTGGCGGCTGTTTGAAGCCATTACCATTAGCCGATATTGAAGATCTGTGGATGAATAGGGTCGTTATGGTCACTCGCAGTTTGTCTTGCGAGAGGTTGTTCAGGCAGGTGCCTTATGCATGGATGCGTCGCGTTTCGTCTGCTGTCCTCAGCTACATTCAGCGATTCTTCGCTGAGCCGTCGTCGAGGTCGTCGTCAAGTTCTGACTGTTCGTCGAGTTCGTCGTCAAGTTCTGAGTGTTCGTCGAGTTCGTCGTCAAGTTCTGACTGTTCGTCGAGGTCGTCGTCAAGTTCTGACTGTTCGTCGAGGTCGTCGTCAAGTTCTGACTGTTCGTCGAGTTCGTCGTCAAGTTCTGAGTGTTCGTCGAGTTCGTCGTCAAGTTCTGACTGTTCGTCGAGGTCGTCGTCAAGTTCTGACTGTTCGTCGAGGTCGTCGTCAAGTTCTGACTGTTCGTCGAGGTCGTCGTCAAGTTCTGACTGCTCGTCGAGGTCGTCGTCAAGTTCTGACTGCTCGTCGAGGTCGTCGTCAAGTTCTGACTGCTCGTCGAGGTCGTCGTCAAGTTCTGACTGTTCGTCGAGGTCGTCGTCAAGTTCTGACTGTTCGTCGAGTTCGTCGTCAAGTTCTGACTGTTCGTCGAGTTCGTCGTCAAGTTCTGACTGTTCGTCGAGGTCGTCGTCAAGTTCTGACTGTTCGTCGAGGTCGTCGTCAAGTTCTGACTGTTCATCGAGTTCGTCGTCAAGTTCTGACTGTTCGTCGAGGTCGTCGTCAAGTTCTGACTGCTTGTCGAGGTCGTCGTCAAGTTCTGACTGTTGGTCGAAGTAGATCTTGTAGTACTCGGGGTTGTAGCAGTATTAAGAGGTCGACACAGAACTACATAATTCGGACGTTGACGTACAAGGGTTCAAGGTATTGCATTGTCTTTTCCGTCGGTAGTCAGACAAGAGTCAGAAGCAGGGGCTAACCGCTGGTGCGGGGTCCTCGAGAGGTCCTTGTTGTTCCTTAAAGCTCCGGTGTCAGCTCACGTTCCTTGTAGGAGGTATCGACTGGATGGTGGTGGTGATGGCTGCGTGTTATGCCGCGAGGAGTGTCACGAACCACCATGTTCGTGAGGTCGCTGGCATCAAGTAGTGTGTTGAGTGTTGCCACAGATCTGTGGCTGTCGATGACGCTCATATGTAACCTGTGTGGCTGTCGATGACCCTCACATGTAACCTGTGTGTGGCTGTAACATGACCCTCACATGTAACCTGTGTGTGGCTGTAACATGACCTTCACATGCAACCTGTGTGTGGCTGTAACATGACCCTCACATGTAACCTGTGTGTGGCTGTAACATGACCCTCACATGTAACCTGTGTGTGGCTGTAACATGACCCTCACATGTAACCTGTGTGTGGCTGTAACATGACCCTCACATGTAACCTGTGTGACTGTAACATGTCCCTCACATGTAACCTGTGTGACTGTAACATGACCCTCACATGTAACCTGTGTGTGGCTGTAACATGACCCTCACATGTAACCTGTGTGGCTGTAACATGACCCTCACATGTAACCTGTGTGTGGCTGTAACATGACCCTCACATGTAACCTGTGTGTGGCTGTAACATGACCCTCACATGTAACCTGTGTGGCTGTAACATGACCCTCACATGTAACCTGTGTGTGGCTGTAACATGACCCTCACATGTAACCTGTGTGTGGCTGTAACATGACCCTCACATGTAACCTGTGTGTGGCTGTAACATGACCCTCACATGTAACCTGTGTGTGGCTGTAACATGTCCCTCACATGTAACCTGTGTGACTGTAACATGACCCTCACATGTAACCTGTGTGACTGTAACATGTCCCTCACATGTAACCTGTGTGTGGCTGTAACATGGCCCTCACATGTAACCTGTGTGACTGTAACATGTCCCTCACATGTAACCTGTGTGTGGCTGTAACATGACCCTCACATGTAACCTGTGTGTGGCTGTAACATGACCCTCACATGTAACCTGTGTGTGGCTGTAACATGACCCTCACATGTAACCTGTGTGTGGCTGTAACATGACCCTCACATGTAACCTGTGTGTGGCTGTAACATGACCCTCACATGTAACCTGTGTGTGGCTGTAACTGTAACATGACCCTCACATGTAACCTGTGTGGCTGTAACATGACCCTCACATGTAACCTGTGTGTGGCTGTAACATGACCCTCACATGTAACCTGTGTGTGGCTGTAACATGACCCTCACATGTAACCTGTGTGTGGCTGTAACATGACCCTCACATGTAACCTGTGTGTGGCTGTAACATGACCCTCACATGTAACCTGTGTGTGGCTGTAACATGACCCTCACATGTAACCTGTGTGTGGCTGTAACATGACCCTCACATGTAACCTGTGTGTGGCTGTAACATGGCCCTCACATGTAACCTGTGTGTGGCTGTAACATGACCCTCACATGTAACCTGTGTGTGGCTGTAACATGTCCCTCACATGTAACCTGTGTGTGGCTGCAACATGGCCCTCACATGTAACCTGTGTGTGGCTGTAACATGACCCTCACATGTAACCTGTGTGTGGCTGTAACATGACCCTCACATGTAACCTGTGTGTGGCTGTAACATGGCCCTCACATGTAACCTGTGTGTGGCTGTAACATGACCCTCACATGTAACCTGTGTGACTGTAACATGTCCCTCACATGTAACCTGTGTGTGGCTGTAACATGGCCCTCACATGTAACCTGTGTGTGGCTGTAACATGGCCCTCACATGTAACCTGTGTGACTGTAACATGTCCCTCACATGTAACCTGTGTGTGGCTGTAACATGACCCTCACATGTAACCTGTGTGTGGCTGTAACATGACCCTCACATGTAACCTGTGTGTGGCTGTAACATGGCCCTCACATGTAACCTGTGTGGCTGTAACATGTCCCTCACATGTAACCTGTGTGACTGTAACATGACCCTCACATGTAACCTGTGTGACTGTAACATGTCCCTCACATGTAACCTGTGTGTGGCTGTAACATGACCCTCACATGTAACCTGTGTGGCTGTAACATGTCCCTCACATGTAACCTGTGTGTGGCTGTAACATGACCCTCACATGTAACCTGTGTGTGGCTGTAACATGACCCTCACATGTAACCTGTGTGTGGCTGTAACATGGCCCTCACATGTAACCTGTGTGACTGTAACATGTCCCTCACATGTAACCTGTGTGTGGCTGTAACATGGCCCTCACATGTAACCTGTGTGGCTGTAACATGACCCTCACATGTAACCTGTGTGGCTGTAACATGTCCCTCACATGTAACCTGTGTGTGGCTGTAACATGACCCTCACATGTAACCTGTGTGTGGCTGTAACATGACCCTCACATGTAACCTGTGTGTGGCTGTAACATGACCCTCACATGTAACCTGTGTGTGGCTGTAACATGACCCTCACATGTAACCTGTGTGTGGCTGTAACATGGCCCTCACATGTAACCTGTGTGTCTGTAACATGGCCCTCACATGTAACCTGTGTGTGGCTGTAACATGACCCTCACATGTAACCTGTGTGTGGCTGTAACATGACCCTCACATGTAACCTGTGTGTGGCTGTAACATGACCCTCACATGTAACCTGTGTGTGGCTGTAACATGACCCTCACATGTAACCTGTGTGTGGCTGTAACATGACCCTCACATGTAACCTGTGTGTGGCTGTAACATGGCCCTCACATGTAACCTGTGTGTGGCTGTAACATGGCCCTCACATGTAACCTGTGTGTGGCTGTAACATGACCCTCACATGTAACCTGTGTGTGGCTGTAACATGACCCTCACATGTAACCTGTGTGTGGCTGTAACATGACCCTCACATGAAACCTGTGTGTGGCTGTAACATGACCCTCACATGTAACCTGTGTGTGGCTGTAACATGTCCCTCACATTAAACAATGGATTACTCTTTTAGCCAAATTGGCAATTTTGTGTGTTTCCAGTCAATAGTCGATTTAAGGATGTAGTTTATTTATTTATTTATTTATATATATACAAGAAGGTACATTGGGTTTGTGAGAATACATAGCATAGTACAGTAATTACTCTCTTGTAAAGCCACTAGTACGCGCAGCGTTTCGGGCAGGTCCTTAATCTAGCAGATAATTTTAAATAGGTAAATTCTATCAGAATTAATAACATGATAACAAATACATTGCAAGAAAAAAAATGAGATGAGAGAGATTAGTAAGTATATTAAAGCACATTGGTATATTAAAGCTCTGATTGATTACATTGACAACTTGATTGGTAATTTAAACAAGATTAATAGACACCATACAGCAGATTGACAGCACATATAAGACAGCAATGATCGCAATGATAAATATGTTCAGATTGGGTACATAAAGATTGGGAGATTGGGTAGCAATAGATACAGTGCAGTTTTAAAGCAAAAGGTAAAAAACTATAAAGATGAAATTAGGTACTTTTTAGTATTGTTTTTGAATGACGCAAAAGTTGGACAGCTTTTCAGTTCAATAGGGAGTGAGTTCCATAGACTGGGTCCCTTTATTTGCATAGAGTGTTTACATAGATTAAGTTTGACTCTGGGGATATGAAAGAGATATTTATTTCTGGTGTGGTGATAATGGGTCCTATTACATCTGTCCAGGGAGAGTTTCAGAGCAGGATGTGCATTTAAGAACAGGGTTTGCACATAAGAACAGGGGTTTGTAAATGTAATTGACACAAGAGAATTTGTGGAGTGAGATTATGTTTAGCATGTTAAGTGACTCACAATATTTGTTAGTCCATAAATGATCCATTTTGGTCTTTGTGTGAGGTATAGTTATGTGAGGTATAGTTATGTGAGGTAATTATGTGTACACACACATGATTCCACAAACAAGATTTTAAACTGCTATCAAAATGTTCTTTGAACTTTGAGTATTTGGAAAAGTATCGAGTGAGAGTGTTGACACCTGTTACAAACGTGTCCACACAGTCACTTCTTACTAGTCCAGTTGTAACTAAAAATTTCTTATGGATAATAATGTTCTCGGTGTTTGTACAAGCAATATTATCAGTCAAAGTGTCGAACATTTTCCTTTAAGTGGTTACTACACAATAAGAATGTTGCCTTCGGAAAACAACACATAAGTGCCTTTCTCGAAGCTATTGCCCGAAACGCTTTGCGTAATAGTGGCTTTAGGCATTGTATGTACTAGCTCTACCTATAAGTCAACCAATCTTTGTAAAAATTTATTGTATGTATGTACCTTACCTAAATAAAAATTATTATTATTATTATTTCCTGATCACTTCCAATCATTACTTTTTTTTTGAGATATATACAAGAGTTGTTACATTCTTGTAGAGCCACTAGTACGCGTAGCGTTTCGGGCAAGTCCCTGGAATACGATCCCCGCCGCGAAGAATCGTTGTTACATCCAAGTACACATTTTACTGTTGCGTTAAACAGAGGCTACAGTTAAGGAATTGCGCCCAGTAAATCCTCCCCGGCCAGGATACGAACCCATGACATAGCGCTCGCGGAACGCCAGGCGAGTGTCTTACCACTACACCACGGAGACTATAACTTTTGGAGTTATTAACACAGTCTCGTAGTTTGGTGCTTAGGTGGAAGAAAATGCTAAGTGACATATTCACCATGACGGTGTATATATATATATGGGCCCGAGGAATATAGGGTTGCTTAATGTTTCCTTTTGTATTACAGTAAAGTTCTTGTGCACAATTGTCGTTAGATAACAAGGGCCAAGATTGACAGTCCTGTCAACACCGATGACATTACGGGTTTCTTCTCCTGCAGCACGCAAATGTTGCTTGAAGTCTTCAACTTGTTCCTTGTTAATACAGTATAACACAGGTGACTTTGTTCTTGTAATGAATTATCTCCTGGACATATCCATGACTCTCTTACATGTAATTTACATTTAAAACATCATCAGCAACATTGTGCCTATGGATAGGCTTATATTACTTTCTCTTCTCATTGTAATTTTTATTCCTTATTTGCTTGAAGTGTCTTGGGGGCTAAACTTGATTATTCCTTGAGCATATTTTGATCAACCTCTCACGGAGGAAGGCTCTTAACCATCTCCCTTATCTTAATGTCTAAAACTTCAGGCCTGGTCCGAATTTATAGATTTTTTTTAATGACCATGCATCGTATCTCCTGTATACTTGCCGGAGTATTCTACAACAGCTACAGACTGCAGCTGTTTAATAACCATTGCTCTTTTGTTAAAGCATTTTTGACCTCTGAGGACTGTGTGATGATGATAGTATCTGTGTAGGGCTGGGGCTCTAAGGGGACCCACTGTACTTGCTTTTTAATACTCCCCGGCGGACACAAGATCGTGTCCGCCGGGGGTCACTTGATAATCCTCCGGAGACATATTTTTATGTCTGACGAACAAATATTTCTATAAAATTCAATTCTTATCCGATCGACTTGGGGATAGTATGAACATGTTTGCCATAGAATTTACGTTTTCTCTAATAGCCACATAGCCTATTTGGGAGAACGGCATTGTCTTGTATCTTTGTGGTAAAACTATTGTAGATCGCCGAGGTGCGGTAAAGGGTAACACTTCGCCCACTTCCCACACTCTTGCGGGTAGGCAGCGATCATGATTCTACATTTATATACATATGTTTGGGTAGGAAATTTTATTGCAATCTCAAAGATACCAAATTTAACGCTGTAGGACAAGTGTGGAGTTGACAATCCTGAAAAGAATGTAAACATCTCGTCGCTGTTTGGAGCTCACGGCTAGTGATCCCCGTAGTTTCTTTATTGGTAGTGGTTTAAATCACCGTTTGGTGACATTTTATACATATGTTCTTCTAGAACATTCTGTTGCAAACACATTGGTATAAAAATGAAATATGTACATCGAAAATTAAGGTCAGCACAGTGAAAAGAGTATACACTTTTCCGTGTTGCCGCTCGATGGCCTGAAACGGTGATTCCACTTCGAGCAAGTTTTGGTCCTGTTCGCGGAGAACAGTAAAGTGATAATTAATTAATTAAATTAATTAAGCACAACACGATTACAAAATGAACTATGTTGCCTATAGTTATGTAACGGTTCTATTGTTACGTAATGTATGGTGACAAATAAACACAGACACTAAGATACTATATATATATTTGGTCGAATATACAGAAGTACACAGGTGATACTTTGGTGTGAGTTGAGCGCACTGAGCGTCGGTACAGTATCTCGCAAGTGTCTGCTCTAGACCACACTTGAAAGTAGACTAGCCAATGTTCGATTGATTGATTGATAAAGATTAAGCCACCCAAAAGGTGGCACGGGCATGAATAGCCCGTAAGTGGTGGCCCTTTTGAGCCATTACCAGTATCAAGAGCTGATACTGGAGATTTGTGGAGGTGCAACTGCACCCTGCGTGACGGGAGATGTCTCCCGTAATTATTAATTTTTTTTTTCTCTCTTTTTTCTTTTTTTTTTCCCCAGTGTTCTGAGGTTGCATTTAACCATCAAGCTGTTATCGTGGGGGAGGATACTGCTTCACAGTCTTTATGAGGGTGTCCAGCTGCTGGAGCCAATGTTCGCTACACCGCTGCTTATATTGCTCGGGCAACACCTCACCGTGTTGCCCGGGCAACGCCTCACCTCATTCATCTCCAAAGGTTGACAGGAATATTAACACTATATTTGGAGCGAGTATATTATTGGGATAATCTACTCGCTACAGTTACACACGGGAGACATCTCCCGTCACGCAGGGTGCAGTCGCACCTCCACAGATCTCCAGTATCACCTCTTGATACTGGTAATGGCTCAAAAGGGCCACCACTTACGGGCTATTCATGCCCGTGCCACCTCTTGGGTGGCTTAATCTTGGTTGATTGATGAAGATTAAGCCACCAAAAAGGTGGCACGGGCATGAATAGCCCGTAAGTGGTGGCCCTTTTGAGCCATTACCAGTATCAAGAGCTGATACTGGAGATCTGTGGAGGTGCGACTGCACCCTGCGTGACGGAAGATGTCTCCCGTGGCTTAGTCTTCATCAATCAATCTATATATATCATCCGCAAACTTTTATTAGTGTGGCATACATAGCAACTGTTCTCGGTGGTAACTTTAGCACTCTTCCACACTCCACATTGATCAGGACAGTTACTCCGGGGTTTGTCACCCATATCAAGATTATATGAATTGTCAAATACAGAAAATGTATATTCTTTAGCTCCACAAGGGATCTGTTTAAATACATGGCTTGCAAATGCAAATCTAGCAAATCTATTTGCTTCAAGAGCCAGTTCCACTCAACTTCCTCAAGCAACTCTGACTCACCAACAAAGACTTCAAGCAGCAAGATGGAAAAAAATAGATGATGCTTTAGCCTTACCTGACGAACTAGACCAACCTTTCAATCTGAAAGAACTCAGAAGTGCTACAAAGAAAACTAAAAACACAGCTCCAGGCGAGGACAAAATCACTTACAACATGCTGGCCAAGCTAGGAGAAAAGGGTGAAGAAGCCTTCTTGAATCTCATCAACAGAGTATGGGTGACAAGAACCCGACCACTCTCAGACCCAGGAAACCAAGACCCATCTCATTAACAAGCTGTCTGGCCAAAACTGCGGAAAGAATGGCCCTTAATCGAATTGAATGGAAAGCCAATCCACTACACCAAAATATGTTTGCTTACAGAGAAGGTGTTGGAACCACAGAATGCCTTACCTCCCTCTTGGATCAAATCAATGACAAACCTGGAATCCTTATTTTTCTAGACCTTGAAAAAGCCTTCGAGTTAGCCAGTGCTCCAGCTACACGGTGCTGCCTGATGGATAAGGAAATCAAAGGACACGCTCTTGCCTTTGCCAAAGGAAGTCTGCTAAACCGAGAAGCTAAAGTCAAATTCCAAGGAAAAACATCGACCTCAAAGAGGCTGGAAAATGGAACTCCGCAGGGAGGAATACTAAGCCCCTTCCTCTTCAACTATCTCATGGAACAATTCATGAAGCTCAAGCTACCAAAAGCCAAACTTCTTAACTATGCAGACGACTTTGTGGTCATCATCAATGGCAAAGGTGCAAGGAACCATGCACAAAAATGCCTAGATATTATCAGCAGGGAAGCGGAACGCATAGCAGTGAAAATAAACAGCAATAAAACAAAAGCTATTGCCGTTAAAATGAAAACTCAAGACATCAGACTGGCAATACAAGGACAAGAAATTGAGTGAGTTACCTCTTTTCAATACTTAGTAGTAATAATAGACAACCAGTTGAAATTCACTCAAGAAATTGAATATCTTTGGCAACGCTGTAAAGCCAGAAACTCAGCTTTGCGCTTCCTGACCAGTCTTAGAGAGGGTGCATCTCTACCAGTACTCAAAATGTACTGTTAGGTCACTCATCGACTATGCTGCTCCTGCTCTTACATCTCTCAGTGATAACCAATGGGAGAAACTGGAAGTGTCTCAAAATGAAGCTCTGAGAACAATGCTGGGAGCACCTATATGGACGCGTAGAGAGAACCTTAGAATGGAAACAAATTTACCAGCTTTAGAAAACAGGATGAAACAAAGGATAGCCACCATAATAGGAAAACTTACTGGAACAACCGCCAGGCTGTCAATCAAAGACAGCATACAGAGATCCTTTCAGAAAAACCTACAGTATAGAACACGCTCATGGATGGATAATGTGGTCAAGATTTTAGAGAAAATGGACCATTAAAAACAAAGGGGAAGATAGACCATATCAACACTTTCGTCAGCCTCCTCCATGGGAAGAATCGAATCTAAAGATAATCATTGAAAGATTACCAGTTAAAAAATCAGCATGTGACCCTCAGAGGCTCAAGGAAGTAATAGAACAACAAATGGAAACCATCTCAAGACCGACAACGACTCACATCTTCACAGACCTTACCTACCTTGAGGTTACCTTGAGGTGCTTCCGGGGCTTAGCGTCCCCGCGGCCCGGTCGTCGACCAGGCCTCCTGGTTGCCGGACTGATCAACCAGGCTGTTGGACGCGGCTGCTCGCAGCCTGACGTACGAGTCACAGCCTGGTTGATCAGGTATCCTTTGGAGGTGCTTATCCAGTTTTCTCTTGAACACTGTGAGGGGTCGGCCAGTTATGTACCTCTCCCCCTTATGTGTAGTGGAAGCGTGTTGAACAGTCTCGGTCAGTAATTTCTCCCTCTGATGTTCATAGAGTTCTCTCTCAGAGTACCAGTTGCACCTCTGTTTTTCAACGGGGGTATTCTGCACATCCTGCCATGTCTTCTGGTCTCATGTGATGTTATTTCTGTGTGCAGGTTTGGGACCAGCCCCTCTAATATTTTCCACGTGTAAATTATTATGTACCTCTCCCGCCTGCGCTCAAGGGAGTACAGTTTTAGGCTCTTTAGTCGGTCCCAATAGTTTAGATGTTTTACTGAGTGGATTCTAGCAGTAAAGGATCTCTGCACGCTCTCCAGGTCAGTAATTTCTCCAGCTTTGAAAGGGGCTGTCATTGTGCAGCAGTACTCCACTCTAGAGAGCACAAGCGTTTTGAAAAGTGTCATCATCGGTATAGCATCTCTAGTGTGAAAAGTTCTTGTTATCCAACCTGTCATTTTTCTTGCAGTTGTGACGGCTACTTTATTGTGTTCTTTAAAGGTAAGGTCTTCCGACATGAGTACACCCAGATCCTTGACATTGCCTTTTCGTTCTATGTTATGATTTGCCTGAGTTTTGTACGTGGTTTCCGTTTTTATATTTTCATTTTTTCCATAGCGCATGAGCTGGAACTTATCTTCGTTAAACACCATATTATTTTCTGTAGCCTATAGAAAGACCTGATCTACATCTGACTGGAGGTTCGCCGTGTCCTCTATGTTGCCTACTCTCATGAAGATCCTAGTGTCATCTGCAAAGGATGATACAGTGCTATAGGTTGTGTTCTTGTCTATGTCCGAAATGAGGATGAGAAAAAGTACTGGAGCAAGTACAGTACCCTGGCGGACTGAGCTCTTCACGGTTGATGGGCTGGATTTTATTTTGTTGATTATTACACACTGGGTTCTGTTGGTCAGGAAATTGTTGATCCATCTGCCTATTTTTCCGGTAATTCCTTTTGAACGCATTTTATGTGCAATAACACCATGGTCACATTTATCAAAAGATTTTGCGAAATCTGTGTAAATTACATCAGCGTTTTGTTTGTCTTCCATAGCATCTAATGCCATATCATAGTGGTCCAGCAACTGGGACAGGCAAGAGCGCCCTGTTCTGAAACCATGTTGTCCGGGGTTATGGAGATGCTGTGATTCCATGTATTTTGTGATCTTACTTCTTAGCACTCTCTCAAAAATTTTTATGATGTGCGATGTTAGTGCTATCGGTCTGTAATTTTTTGCCTCTGCCTTATTTCCTCCTTTATGGAGTGGTGCTATCTCTGCTGTTTTTAGTATGTCAGGGATAACGCCAGTATCTAGGCTTTGTCTCCACAGAATGTGAAGGGCCTGCGATAGTGGTTTTTTACAGTTCTTTATGAATATGGAGTTCCAAGAAGCCGGGCCTGGTGCAGAGTGCATAAGCATACTGTTTATGGCTTCTTCAAAATCCAGTGGGGATAGGGTGACGTCTGATATATGATTTGATGTTGGTATCGTATCCATGATCCAGACGGATCAGTTGATCAAGAAAAAGGTTCTGCTGGGGCAGCAGTTTACACTACCAACCATGAAGCTTACTGGAGCATGAATAGTGGGTGCTCAACATTGCAAACAGAACTATATGCCCTGAAGGAGGCAATAAACTATACAATTGAGAATAATTTACATGATGTCATCATTCATACCGACTCTAAATCTTCGCTTCAGGCATTGTTATCCAGTCAGCACAGAGATAATATACAACTCCTCACAGAAATTCAACATATAGGAAAAGATGCTCATAATCGAGGGCTGTCAATCACCCTAAATTGGATACCAAGTCACATTGGCATAGATGGTAATGAAAAGGCAGACTCACTAGCAAAAACTGCCACTGCTCTACCTGTTGTACAGGTTCAAATCCCTCCAAGTTTCTCACAGATAAAGGAGCAGATCAAGAAGAAAATATTCCCAACTATCAAAAGTCGCCACAGAGCAAAAGTAGCGGAAGGAAGATCCACTGCGATATGGTATGAACAAGCCACTGGTTACTCCTCCTTCAAGCCTGGCAAAAAGATATCCAGAGACATTGCAGTAGCCATACACAGACTCAGACTTGGTTACAAGTGCTGCTGGGAGGTAATGAACCCAATAGTTAAAGAGTGTCACATCTGTGAAACAGAAGCAGAGGCGCCGCTATTGCACTACTTACTGGAATGTGAAGCTACTGAAGCCCTGCTCAACAAACTCAACATTAATCCAACGACAGCAGCTGCATTAGATGCCCATTCCACCGCGACTACAATGATTAGAAAAGCTGTTGAGGAATGGGACTCATTAGTGAGCATTCTGCATCTACATCCGCCACCAAGATAATGTTAATAAAACAAGATTAAAACCAGTGCACTAAAACGGAAGCGATAAATAAACAGGGAAAAAGGAGAAGTCCTCCTCCATTTTAAACTTAGACCCAAATATCACAGGAAAAAGGTTATCACGTATAACCAAACTCAATTACGGGCTCACCATAGCCCGTGCTACATGGACACTCCGTCCTGAAAAGCTAAATCTTTAACAACAAGATCTTGCAAATGCCAATAGCTCACCAGTCTCCGTGGTGTAGTGGTAAGACACTCGCCTGGCGTTCCGCGAGCGCTATGTCATGGGTTCGTATCCTGGCCGGGGAGGATTTACTGGGCGCAATTCCTTAACTGTAGCCTCTGTTTAACGCAACAGTAAACTGTGTACTTGGATGAAAAAACGATTCTTCGCGGCGGGGATCGTATTCCAGGGACCATAGGATTAAGGACTTGCCCAAAACGCTACGCGTACTAGTGGCTCTACAACAATGTAACAACTCTTCTATATATCTCAATAAAAAAAAAACAATAAACAATAAAATTCTCAGGTCGATTGTGTGAATGGTGAACACACAATCGACTTGAGAATGGTCCAGGACGGACCGAAACGTCGTCGTCCCTTCACTTTCTAGTGTGTGGTTTGGTCAACATGATTCATCAATTTTGGCTTCTTCAGAAAAGTTCCTGTCACCTTAGTGTCATAATATATTTTGGACACACAGGGCATAAAGTTATTTCCAATTGTAGTTGATGTGTACACAATTTGTGAAGACGATGTTGAGCGACACAAACTTTGAGGTGTAGATGCAATAGTGCTTAGTAACGGGGTACTGTCTATGGATATGTGACCCAGTGGAGGCAAGGCATTATTGGAACGAAATGGTTAGGTGGCCATAGTCTTCCCTACAGCCACCCCTAATGAATTACGTGATCGCAGTGCGCATGTCTGCTTGTGAATGGCATGGAGTGAACACCGCAGAGCGCATGTCTGCTTGTGCATGACATGGAGTGAACACAGCAGAGCGCATGTCTGCTTGTGTGATCAACAAACAATACTGTTTGTTGACCAACTTGTATAAATGCTGATGTCTGCCCTGTATAAACTTGAAGAAATTTATTGTCTTCTCTTTATTTAGTTAAAATTACTTCTGTTGTTCTGTTTCAGTTTCTGCTGTTCCATCCATCATGTAATTATTATCATTATTTTTTCTTTTTTCCCATTTTTCAGTTCAATTTATGCTTTTGATCTCAATTAGTTTAAAATGTTAGTCCAAGTGTTTTTAAAACACCTTGCCGGAAACGCTGTGCGTATTAGTGGCTTTAAGCATAGTATGTACTACCTCTGTCTAGAGTTCCAACATTCTGTTTGTTACTCATCTTGTATGTATGTACTTTTAACTTAATAAATATTATTATTAGATTATTATTATTATAGATATGATAGATCCCAATGGGCTCAGAAATCTCTAAACCAGTTTTTTGGCAGTTGAGAGGCGGGAGCAAGGAGCCGAAGCTCAACCCCCACAAGCACAACTATGTGAGTACAACAAGTTGAGTAAATTTCTGGTAATGGTAACCGACTATTCAGACAAAGGACTTCCGGTAGCTGTAGCTTACATGGACTTTGCTAAAGCTTTTGACAAGGTATCACGTGAGAAAGACTGGCAAGGGAGTGACAGGTACATGGAATAAATGGGAGAAAACTGGAACGGATAAAACAATGGATAAAACAATGAAAACAAAGAGTGATGATAAATGGGAATGAATGTGACTGGGGAAGTGTACAAAATGGGGTGCCACGGGGGTCCATCTTGGGGCCAACCACGTTTGTCACACATATCAAAGAGACCAAAGAGCCAAAGCTCAACCCCCGCAAGCACAATTAGGGGAGTACATCGAGAAGGTGCAAGGGTTGAGGGCCACAGGGCTAACAACACTTCAGACCAGGCATGACAGGCCGGATCTCACAGAAACCTTCAAAATACTAAACAGTTCGGACGATGTCAATCCGGACAGTTTCTTCAAAAGGTCAGATGTAACACGAACGAGGAGCAACGGTTTCAAGCTCAACAAGCCACAATGTAGGACTGAGAACAGATGTTTTATCATCCATAGGGTTATAAACCCGTGGAACTGCCTACCCGCCGAAACCGTGAACGCCAGAACTTCGCTGGGTTTTAAAATACAGTTGGAAAAGATCATCAGGATAAATGGGGGGAACTTTGTCAAGCCGTCAGCTTTATGACCTCGTCGAGGCCACTAGTATTAGTGGCTCTTAGGTAAATCCAGGTAAATAAACCCATGGAATAAATAAACCCGCCGAAGGCGTATTGTCAAATCTTTGCTGACCTTTGTAATATAACTGGAAAAATTCTTCATAAAAGATAGAGTCCTTTAACAAGCCATTGATTCGTGTCCTCGTCAAGGCTACTAAAGAGATGGTGATCCACAGGTAAATTCAGGTAAATATTACCGACAGTCTTCCAACGATGCAAATATATTTTAGTCAACGATTCTATCAGCCAGTAAAATGTAGTTTTCTGTGATGGGATCCATTTTCTACCACAGAGCACGAGCTTCCCGACGTGACGTGAGAGGAAGCCGTGGATGAGCCACGTTCACATCATAATAATAATAATAATAATAATAATAATAATAATAATAATAATAAAGTAATATTATTAATATAATAATTAATAATATTTTATTTATAACAAGGTAAACTGGGTTGGTGAGATAATATTAGTTATATTTTTTTACATTCCTACAAAGACACTAACACGCATGAACAAATCCACAAGGGCCGTGACAGGGATTCGAACCTATTATTAAGGGTTCTTAATCTAACATATCAAGTAAGATGAAAAACTACGTTGTAGCAAGGTTTTATATCAAAAATATAAATTGAGAGAGGTGATTACACTGGAAAAGATTACGTTCTTTATTAGTCTTAAGAAGTACTAATATTAGTGAAGTGGGTAGTACAAGATACAGTTTGTAGCACAAGGGAATTATGGGGAGGGAATTAGGGACTTTTGGGTAAGACTTTTAAACAAGGCAAAGGTTGGACAATTTTTTAATTCATGAGGGAGTGAGTTGCAAAGACTGGATGTGTCTTAGTATTTTCAAGGAGTGTTTGTAGAGATTTAGTCTGACTCTGGGGATATTAAAGTGATATTTATTTCTGTGTGTGGTGCTCATGGGTTCTATTACACCTATTAAGGAAAAGTTTCAGACAAAGATTAGCATTTAGGAACAAGGTTTTGTACATGTAGATAGCACATGAGAATGTGTGGAGTGAGTGTATGTTTAGCATGTTAAGCGACGTCAACAGAGGGATTGTGTGTTGTCTGAAGACAGAGTTTGTTATAGTTCTCATAATAGATTTTGCTGAGTGATGATAGGCTTCAGGTAATTTGCAGTGGTTGAGCCCCATGCACATATACCGTACTTAAGATGGGGATAGATTAGTGCGTAGTATAATGAGAGGAGACAAGAGTGCGGAACATATCTGATTCTAGAAAGAATACCGACCGAGTTTTAGACTTTTTTTAGCTGTGTTGTATGTGGGTGCTGAAGTTCAGTCTCTTGTCTATGTATAGGTCAAGAAACTTCCCCCACATTGTTATTGGTAATGTTAACATTGTCTATCTGAAGTTGAATCTGATTTGATGATTTACTACCAAATAAAATATAGTAGGTCTTCCTAATGTTTAGTGTGAGTTTGTTGGTTGACATCCATGAGTGGACTTTTATTAATTCTCTGTTGACAATAATTTTACCGGACCATCATTCAGAATGTGGTGTAATGGGCGTTCCCTGACCACCCCAGGGGTCAGGGGATGACACCGACCACCCCAGGGGTCAGGGGACGACACCGACCACCCCAGGGGTCAGGGGACGACACCGACCACCCCAGGGGTCAGGGGACGACACCGGCCACCCCAGGGGTCAGGGGACGACACCAGCCACCCCAGGGGTCAGGGGACGACACCGACCACCCCAGGGGTCAGGGGACGACACCGGCCACCCCAGGGGTCAGGGGACGACACCAGCCACCCCAGGGGTCAGGGGACGACACCGACCACCCCAGGGGTCAGGGGACGACACCAGCCACCCCAGGGGTCAGGGGACGACACCGACCACCCCAGGGGTCAGGGGACGACACCGGCCACCCCAGGGGTCAGGGGACGACACCAGCCACCCCAGGGGTCAGGGGACGACACCGACCACCCCAGGGGTCAGGGGACAACACCGGCCACCCCAGGGGTCAGGGGACGACACCAGCCACCCCAGGGGTCAGGGGACGACACCGACCACCCCAGGGGTCAGGGGACGACACCGACCACCCCAGGGGTCAGGGGACGACACCGACCACCCCAGGGGTCAGGGGACGACACCGGCCACCCCAGGGGTCAGGGGACGACACCGACCACCCCAGGGGTCAGGGGACGACACCGACCACCCCAGGGGTCAGGGGACGACACCGGCCACCCCAGGGGTCAGGGGACGACACCAGCCACCCCAGGGGTCAGGGGACGACACCGACCACCCCAGGGGTCAGGGGACAACACCGGCCACCCCAGGGGTCAGGGGACGACACCAGCCACCCCAGGGGTCAGGGGACGACACCGACCACCCCAGGGGTCAGGGGACGACACCGACCACCCCAGGGGTCAGGGGACGACACCGGCCACCCCAGGGGTCAGGGGACGACACCGACCACCCCAGGGGTCAGGGGATGACACCGACCACCCCAGGGGTCAGGGGACGACACTGACCACCCCAGGGGTCAGGGGACGACACCGGCCACCCCAGGGGTCAGGGGACGACACCGACCACCCCAGGGGTCAGGGGACACAGCACAGCAGTCCTGGCCCTCAAGTGCCAGCAGCACAGCAGCCCTGGCCCTCAAGTGCCAGCAACACAGCAGCCCTGGCCCTCAAGTGCCAGCAGCACAGCAGCCCTGGCCCTCAAGTGCCAGCAGCACAGCAGTCCTGGCCCTCAAGTGCCAGCAACACAGCAGCCCTGGCCCTCAAGTGCCAGCAACACAGCAGCCCTGGCCCTCAAGTGCCAGCAACACAGCAGCCCTGGCCCTAAAGTGCCAGCAACACAGCAGCCCTGGCCCTCAAGTGCCAGCAACACAGCAGCCCTGGCCCTCAAGTGCTAGCAACACAGCAGCCCTGGCCCTCAAGTGCCAGCAACACAGCAGCCCTGGCCCTAAAGTGCCAGCAACACAGCAGCCCTGGCCCTCAAGTGCCAGCAACACAGCAGCCCTGGCCCTCAAGTGCCAGCAACACAGCAGCCCTGGCCCTCAAGCGCCAGCAACACAGCAGCCCTGGCCCTCAAGTGCCAGCAACACAGCAGCCCTGGCCCTCAAGTGCCAGCAACACAGCAGCCCTGGCCCTCAAGTGCCAGCAACACAGCAGCCCTGGCCCTCAAGTGCCAGCAGCACAGCAGCCCTGGCCCTCAAGTGCCAGCAACACAGCAGCCCTGGCCCTCAAGAGCCAGCAACACAGCAGCCCTGGCCCTCAAGTGCCAGCAACACAGCAGCCCTGGCCCTCAAGTGCCAGCAACACAGCAGCCCTGGCCCTCAAGTGCCAGCAACACAGCAGCCCTGGCCCTCAAGTGCCAGCAACACAGCAGCCCTGGCCCTCAAGTGCCAGCAACACAGCAGCCCAGGGGGCATCAGCTACTGAACACTACTCCAGGGAAGAAGAGGGACCAGTATTCAGTGTGGGAGACGGTTGAAGGTCTGGGAGACCTTCTCCCAAGCCTAGTGAGGTCATCTGAGATCAGTCGTGGGAAGTTCGTCGACCAGCTGCGAGAAGACATCCATCTTGGTTTTACTAAAGAGGAGAAAAGTAACTAGGCAGGAACCACACAGTGGTCGCCAGAAGGAGCGTCTACCAACTACAACAGGCTGCTAGGACTGTAACCTTGTTTGTACAAAGTACAAATTATTTATTCTGAGTTCGCGGAGAGAATTATTGTGGCAAGACAGGGCTAATATTAAAAGCAGTTTGGGAATAAGTATATATTCGTGTTGTACCATATTTTATTGATCTAGAGTAATCGTGTTTTATTATTGAAAAGCTGAAGGCAATTATTATATAAGAGAATTCACAGTAATATTTCCTTGCTGGAAAAGGTTTAGTAAATAAAAGCCTGATGAGTTGTATCAATATTGGGAGGTGTTGCCATATTGTTGGTCTCCGCGGGAGTGTTGCCACATATGACACTTAAGATATTTTCGGCCTTAAACAAATGTACTTTTATTACCAGTAAACAGTTTATTGTTTCACTCCTTTCTTCACCCGCTATCCGTGTGCCAAGATGACACACCGATCGTATAGTCTCTACAACACTTGATATCCTGGGTCACTACTCTGCCTAATGCGTCATTCAGGCTATCTTGAGATGATTTCGGGGCTTTAGTATCCCCGCGGCCCGGTCCTCGATTAGGCCTCCACCCCCAGGAAGCAGCCCGTGACAGCTGACTAACACACAGGTACCTATTTTACTGCTAGGTAACAGGGGCATAGGGTGAAAGAAACTCTGCCCATTGTTTCTCGTCGGCGCCCAGGATCGAACCCGGGACCACAGGATCATAAGCCCAGCGTGCTGTCCGCTCGGCCGACCGGCTCCCCTAGAACATTTCTGTCAATACAGTGGTAAGTCTGTCCCAGTCTGGCATTTTCTTAATTGTGCTCAGTGTTTCAAACTAGACCCAGGCAAACAATATAGAAGTAGGAGGCATCCATCAGTCTCAGGAGATTATGGAGTTGCGCTCTGGAGTGGCCTCTCCAGGGCGCAAAGCCAGGGTAGGTTGATACGGAGGAGAAGCTGTTACCCATGCAGCAGGTCCCCCCTCTCTCCAAGCGTCGAAAGTCTCCAATGGAAAGGCAAACGCCAATACAATTGGTTCCAGCGCCGTCGCAGGAACTGTGAGCTCCGAGTTGACCTCGAAGTTGGTGAAAAAAGGCACAGGGACCCCAAACCCGGAGACCGCCGTGGTCGGGGCCCGGAGAAGAACCACCCCAGTAAGGGTATGAACGACCCCAGCCTCCTGCAGCAGAGCCTGGGGGGCCGCACGAGCCCCAGGAGGTGGACGACCGAGTCCCGCACCTACGGGTTCCTGACAGAGATCCTCACAGCCCTCTTTCACTCGAGGCCCGCTTCCTTCAAGACTGAGCAGAAGGATGTTGCATTATTAAATGCAACAATTATTATTATAATAATAATAATATAACTAATTAATAATGATCACTCTTCCTTCTGCTTGGTGCTGAAGGAACCGGTGCTGAATATATGACTGCTATTCTCTGTTCGGATCTCTGGCTCCTCCCCACGGTCACCATTTTCTACTCCTCGACATGTGCCATCACTCGCCTCCGGGTTGGGCACATCTCCGTCGTCTACGGCTGGTAGAGTCCCCATACTACCAGTGGTGTCCCACCCAGGAGGATACACTGCAACACCTTCACTGCCCACGATTTCATAGCGCTCACGTCAGCCTGCAGAGTACCGTTCGTAGGCTGAATATTCCCCGCCTCACGGGTCCAGTTCTCCTTGACGAGGCAGGTGCGAGAGACGAGGACGTCCGTACTGGCAGTCTTCGCAATACCATCCGCTTCATTCGTCACGTTCGTGGCCTGAAGATACTATAAAGTATGTAGCCTAAGGAGACTGTAGGGTCTGTGGCCTGAAGAGACTGGTTGATACCTGGTTGATGGGGTTCTGGGAGTTCTTCTACTCCCCAAGCCCGGCCCGAGGCCAGGCTTGACTTGTGAGAGTTTGGTCCACCAGGCTGTTGCTTGGAGCGACCCGCAGGCCCACATACCCACCACAGCCCGGTTGATCCGGCACTCCTTGGAGGAATAAATCTAGTTTCCTCTTGAAGATGTCCACGGTTGTTCAAGCAATATTTCTTATGCTCGCTGGGAGGACGTTGAACAACCGCGGACCTCTGATGTTTATACAGTGTTCTCTGATTGTGACTATGGCACCTCTGCTCTTCACTGGTTCTATTCTACATTTTCTTCCATATCGTTCACTCCAGTACGTTGTTATTTTACTGTGTAGATTTGGTACTTGGCCCTCCAGTATCTTCCCGGTGTATATTATTTGATATCTTTCTCGTCTTCTTTCTAGTGAGTACATTTGGAGGGCTTTGAGACGATCCCAATAATTTAGGTGCTTTATCGCGTCTATGCGTGCCGTATATGTTCTCTGTATTCCATCTATTTCAGCAATCTCTCCTGCTCTGAAGGGGGAAGTGAGTACTGAGCAGTACTCAAGACGGGACAACACAAGTGACTTGAAGAGTACAACCATTGTGATGGGATCCCTGGATTTAAAGGTTCTCGTAATCCATCCTATCATTTTTCTGGCTGACGCAATATTTGCTTGGTTATGCTCCTTAAACGTTAGGTCGTCAGACATTATTATTCCCAAATCCTTTACATGCTGTTTTCCTACTATGGGTACATTTGATTGTGTTTTGTACTCTGTATTATGTTTAAGGTCCTCATTTTAACCATACCTGAGTACCTGGAATTTATCACTGTTAAACATCATGTTATTTTCTGATGCCCAGTCGAAAACTTTATTAATATCAGCTTGAAGTTTTTCAATGTCTTCAGCCGAGGTAATTTTCATACTGATTTTTGTGTCATCTGCAAAGGATGATACGAAGCTGTGACTTGTATTTTTGTCTATATCTGATATGAGAATAAGGAAAAGCAGCGGTGCAAGGACTGTACCCTGAGGTACAGAGCTTTTAACTGTGCTTGCACTAGATTTGATATGATTGACCGTTACTCGCTGAGTCCTGTTTGACAGAAAACTGAGTATCCAGCGTCCTACTTTACCGGTTATTCCCATTGACTTCATTTTGTGTGCTATCACGCCATGGTCACATTTATCGAAAGCCTTTGCGAAGTCCGTGTATATCACATCAGCAGTCTGTTTTTCTTCTAATGCCTCAGTGACTTTGTCGTAGTGCTCAAGTAGCTGTGAGAGGCACGATCTTCCCGCTCGAAATCCATGTTGGCCTGGGTTGTGAAGGTCATTGGTCTCCATGAAATTGGTGACTCCTAATCACTCTCTCAAATACTTTTATGATGTACGATGTTAGTGCAACTGGTCTATAATTCTTTGCCAATGCTTTGCTCCCTCCCTTGTGTAGAGGGGCTATGTCTGCTACTTTAAGTGCATCTGGTATCTCCCCCGTGTCCAAGCTCTTCCTCCACACTATACTGAGTGCCTGTGCTACTGGCACTTTGCATTTCTTTATAAATATTGAATTCCATGAGTCTGGACCTGGGGCCGAGTGCATGGGCATGTTTTCAATTTCTCTTTCAAAGTCTAGTGCGCTCGTGTTGATATCAGTTATATTTACAGGGGTTTGGATATCCCGCATAAAGAAATTGTCTGGATCTTCCACTTTCATGTTGTTTATTGGAGTGCTAAACATGTCCTCAAACTGCTTTTTTAGGATTTCTCTAATTTCTTTGTCATCCTCCATGTATGAACCTTCACTTGTACGAATAGGTCCAATACTGGCAGTGGTTTTTGCTTTTGATTTCGCATATGTGAAGAAGTATTTTGGATTTTTCTTTAATTCCTGAATTGCTTTCTGTTCTAACCGCCTTTCTTCAGTTTCATATGAGTGTTTCAATTTCCACTCGATTTCTTCAATCTCCCTATTTAAATTATTCCTTCTTTGATGGGAAATTCGTGTCTGCATAAGCATTTCCGCTATTTTTTTCCTGCGTTTATAGTGTCGTCTGCGTTCTCTTTCTACGTTGGATCTCTTTCTGACTTTCCTCAAAGGAACATGTTTCAGACAGACTTGATACGCTTCCGAAGTCAGTTTTTCTATTCCTTCTGTAGGACTTGTATTACTTAGAACAGTTCCCCATGGAATGTTTGTAAGTTCCCTGTTTATTATCTCCCAGTCTATCCTTTTATTATTAAAATTGAATTTACTGAATAGCCCCTCTCGCTTTATCAACGTTTTAGGTCTATTCTGAGTATTGATGGTCGTTTGCACTTCAATGAGCTTGTGATCTGAGTATGTGGTATCTGATATCGTAATGTCTCTGATAATGTCTTCATTGTTCGTAAAGACCAGATCTAGAATATTTTCATTTCTCGTTGGCTCCGATATCTGCTGATTGAGTGAAAATTTGTCACAGAATCTAAGTAGTTCTCTAATCTGTGGTTGGTTAGGTCCCGATAGATTTCCTGGTATAATATTATTGTTTGCTATTTTCCACCTGAGACTAGGCAAGTTGAAGTCACCTAGGAAGATTATATCAGGTATCGGGTTCTCCAAATTATCAAGGCTATTCTCTATTTTGTTTATCTGTTCTGTGAATTCCTCAGCCGTTGCATCTGGCGGTTTGTATATTAGAATAATCACTAAATTTATTTTATCTATGTTTAATCCCAGTACCTCTACCACCTCATTTGTAACGTTAAGGAGCTCCGAGCATACAAGGTCTTCCCTAATATACAGACCCACTCCTCCATGTGACCTAATTTTCCTATCACACCTGTATAGGTTATATCCTGGAATCCAGATCTCACTGTCTAAGAATTCCCCTGCATGGGTTTCTGTGAAAGCTCCAAGACTGCAGTGATCCCATTCGTCTGCTATTTCCAGACATCGGACAGCCGGGACGCATCCGCT